GTTCTTAGCGGATGTTGTTTCCCCCTTTGATTAACCACTTCTACCACCAATGAGTTTGGGGTAGGGTGGGTGAACAAAAACTCAGCCCCCTTAGCCAGTGCATAGTACTTGTTCTCAGATCTCTTACAAGAGGGCGAAGCTGTGGCTGGTGTCTGCCAGACAATTTCTGCAGGGTCCATAATTGCTGCATTAATGGGTAGTGCAACCTTAGCGGATGGAGAAGCTCGAGTATATCTGTCAGTCAGTTTATGCTGCGTCTCTGGTAGCTCCGTGTCTCCAGTGTCAAGGGAGTCAGCTACCCATTTAAACAGATCTTGAAAGGATTTGAAGTCACCTCCAGATATGGGGGTGGGGAGCAGCATTATTGTTTCATCTGGTGACAAAAGGAGATATTGGTAGGTGGGAGGGTATCGCCCTCAGGCTCATCTTCAGGTTCTCCTACTTCCTCCTCCAGCGTTTCTGAGGAAGCTGGGGCAGGTGGCAAAGGTGATTGTGTTGTTCTGGACCTGGGTGGGTTGAGGGGGCCTGATGTTCTGGTCCCTGTATAATGCCCATGGGTCCCAGTATGCCCAGTTTGGTGGGATGAGGCACTCATTGTGGAGCCTGCCAGCCTCTTCCATCCATCTAGCCTCTTCCATCCAGGTGCTGCAAGGGTCCAGGTTTGGGTGAGGAATGGTGAGGGATGTACATCCCTGCCTCCTCTTCCTCCTCCTCCTCATTGCTGGAAAGAGGAGGGGCGGAGTATACGCAGGGAATCCATTAACTGAAAGGGTTCAGTGGATAAATGTACCAGACCATGCACTCAACCCTTCCAAAGACCATCTACAACCCTTATAGTCATACCAGAACAAGAACTGGATCCAGCAAATATATTAACATCATAAGATATAATAACCCTAATTCATAAGTCCATTTGGAGTGTGCAGCATAAATACTTTGTTAACCTCCAATATCCTGTCAACACTGGCCCGTAGTCCCCTCCTCTACTTCCTCCTAAAAAGGAAAGAAAAAAAGTGAAGGGGAGTAGGAGAAGGTAAAGTGGATACATTTAAAGGCCATGCAGAACAAAGCAGTCAGACTTATGCACAGAAAGACTTCAAATGTACTCTACATTATGACTACGGGGTATCAATTCAGCAATATCTTAAGTCTTTCCAAAAGCACTGCCAGGGAATAAATCCATACCAGAGGATCTGTTCCTTCAGCTAATGCAGCCACACCACATAGTTGGCCAGAGAACAAGTATGTGGTCCTAGTACCAGTGAAAAAACAATATCAGAGCCTAGAAGTGCTTTCCATTCCAGGATTTAGGTAGCATTCAATCTTGAGGCAGTGGAGTTCTCACAGAGTCGGTGCCCGATTTTACTTCCAGAGGGCACTGCACTTTCCCACAGCTTCCAAAAGAAGTGCAGGCTAAGACCAAAGACCCCAGAGTCCTTCTAAGGCAGCAACCCCCTTTGGTGAACAGTTGAAGCAGATTATTTTACCACCCAGAAAGAACTCAAAGGATAAACAGATTTGAATTGGATTGTACTGCCTAGTGAATTATCCCACAGAAGAGCAACAGAGTTTCATCTTGGCCACACAGAAAGCTAAGGAGATACTAAGGCAAATTTCTACTAAGGCAAATTTCAAAATTCTAACAGCAAAAATGAAAGGGGAGAATAGGGAGAGGAGTTTAATCTGCAGGCCGTTATTTCATACTGTTAGGAATTGATTGGGGAATCTCAAATCTATTTTTTTAAAAAACAGGAACATATAACGGACAGCATATAGGACAAGGAGACCTTTAAGGAAGTTTTCTGCCTCCTGAGGCTTTTGAAAAACATGAGTTTCTTCTCTGTACTTTACATGGAACAAGACTGGAAACGTCATAGTATTTTTAAGGCCTTTTCACCTAGTCATTTTCCTTGCATTATTAAAGGCAGTCCTGCATTCCACATCTTTAGCAAGGTCCTGAAAAATCATGATCTTAGAATTAGAAGCACCCCACCGGAGTTTTCTCCTCCCTAGGTTTCTGCATAACAAACTCTTTAAAAGTAAATTGGAAAAGTAAAAAGGAAATGAATAATAATGGATTTTGTTTTAGCATCAAGGGCAAGTTTAGAGGTAAAGTTTCTGTGCCCTTTCTATATCAAAGGCATAATCCTTCGGTAAATCCGGTATCTCTGCAAGGAGCCCCTTCTACGAACCTCACCATTCTCAAATTAGTACACTATGATCACTTTTTAGGACTTCATTGCTTTCAGGGAATTGATAACATTCTGCTAAATCTGAGTCTGCATACCTCCTATTTGATCTATTTGAAGAATCAATAGATGCAATTGGAGCTTGTATTGTCAACATGGTGGATTTAATTTCAATTGTGTCATCTCCAATCCTTTTAAATAGGGCCATAACAGCTCCACTCTCCTCCTCGGCAGCCATTTTGTCCAAGGGGGAGGGAGACAGTCTCGTCCTTTTTCAATCTTGCTACCCTGAAGCTCGCAAACAGCTTAGTTGTGTCTGATGGCAGTTAGGAGGTGTGGGAGTAGATGGGTGGTAAAGAGGGCCAGGTGGAGCCAGATTTTGCAGGATGGCTCAGGAGAAAAAGGGAACTGTGCCTTCATGTTCCATAGAACCACCAGGAATCCTCTGGGAGCGTTTACCTTGGTGTGCTTAAGAAAAACTGGTGGAAGCAAGAACCTGTCCACTTATAAGACAACTGCTAATTTCCCTCATTTACTTCAATCAGACTAAAAATGATACCTTCAAAATGAAAAGTGCAATTAAACGTTCTTTATCACTAGAACAGGCATCTTCATTTTTAGTGCAGAGCCACCCAATTATAAAAGCCATGACTGACTGATGCAGTGACAGCAAGATAACCTCACAAGGAAAGGTAAATAAGCATCTTCTTATTGACTTAGTACATTTATGAATTAGATGGAATATGAAATTCACTGCTTTATAGTATTATCATTTCACCTGGATGTGCTGTATACATGTAGAATTTCTATCACTGTATCTTGACCACCTAGAAATCCAATTCTTATACAGTTCACAATGTTTAAAAACCATCACTGAACAAGAACACAATTTTTGAAGTTGCAGTCACCAATAAAATATTTTGAAATATTAAGTAAATTAAAGTAATTGGAAATGTTATTTCACCACCACAACTTGGTCTTCTGGGAAAACTGCGGAGACAAGGGAGGGAGTGCAGGCTCTGGGCAGCACTTATCTCAGGCAGCTCCCATAAGCGACAGTATGTCCCTGCGGCTCTTAGGTGGATGTAGAGCCAGGCAGCTCTGAGTGCTGCCCTCTCCCACAGGTACCCGGTGCTCAGGGCAAGGGGAACGCATGGAGCCTTCATGGCCGCCCCTGCACCTAGGAGGGGGACATGTCAGCCATTTCTGGGAGCTGCGCAGAGCCAAAGAGCCTGCCTTAGCCCCACTTCACCACCAACCAGACTTTTAGTGGCCCGGTCAGACACCAGGGTCCCTTTTTGACTGGGCGTTCCGATCAAAAACCAGATGCCTGGCAACCCTAAGCGTGACTCATAGTCATGATTCATTTTATGAGAACCAGAAACCCTTTCTGTATCTATAGAAAGGTTCTACTGTCCTTCAGATAGCGTAAACACTTATTTCGCTTCTGCAAAAATATGGTTTGTCTCTTTGTAGCATGAAGACTCAATACTTCCACAGGTCCTTTTACATTTATTCAATACATCCTTGTTATACACAACTGCAGGAGTGCTTACAGTGTCTCTATCTTCTTCTTTCTCCAAGGACGGGTGTGGGAGGAGGGAAGAGAGAGGTTTATGCCCCTTCTACACAAAGGGTGGTTGGTAGGAGAGCCCAGGCCCTCTGCCTCCACCAGATGCCAACCCAAGGCCCGACAAGAGGCAATAATAGCAAACACTCTGGAGTACTTTGGGGCTGCCTTCCTGGGCCACTTCCTACTACTTTCTTCTCACAGGGCCTCAAAGTATTTCCCTTGAAGTCCAATAGAAAATAATAAAACAACTGAATTTTCAGCCCAGTTCAGCTCAGCTAGTAGTCTCATTTCTTGCACACTAGCCCCAGCTGCACCCTGATCCAAGTTCCTGGGCTGCACCCCGTTCAGGGTCTGTCACACTCTCCCTCTATCCACGGTTTCTGGCAAGCAACAGTCCCTGATAGGAGCCTGACTATAGTCAAGCTCCCGGCACAGGACTCAACCCCGAGCCCAAAAAAGAAAGTTTGTAGCTACCTCTCACCTGGGTCTCCACCCTGGACCTTCTCCTGCTGCTTACTAGCCCTTCCCTTGCAATAAGGGCTTCTTTGTGCCCTTGCTCAGGAGTTCTCAGGATAGATTTCCTGTTTTCCTATTCTGAGCTGTCTGGCTCCCTTTTAAAAGCTTCTCCTCCAGCTAGAGAAGACTGCAGGTGCAGAGAAGCAGAATCTCCTGGGCCCAGAACCGCTCCTGAAACCCTCCTGTGCCAATGTGGGTTTATACACGCAGTCACAATCACATGACCACTACATGGAAAGCAAATAATGAAACTTTGAACTATTCAATATCTATTTAGAAAAGGGATTTCCCACATGGAAATTGCAGCTCTGTAGGATAACTTTTGGGATGTTCATTAGGCATGAGACTAGCCAGGGACATTCAAGACTTGGATTGTACTGATGGACATAAACATTCAAAACAAACTGAAAATCCTTTTGCATACACATGTCACAGAAAAGCTTCTAGTATTAGTTCTCCTGATCTGGCTGCATGTACTAGCTGCCATATCTTCTCTGACACTCCGAAGATGGGTTCTAGAGCAAGTGACATGATGTGATTACTAGCAACCTGACATTGATAGAAACATAACTATACCGCAGTTTTACATCAGCAAAACTTACAATACTTGGTTTCCATTTAAACTTTGAGCATAAATTCACTGAGCATAGTGCACACTCCATTGTTTTAGTTTAAAAAAAAAGAGGGTATAACAACTGGAAAATAGAGAATTATTAATGTACCTTTCAGACGATGACTTAAAATCTGTTCCAAAATGGCTGCAAAATTATTAAATTCAGGAGAGGAATCATCAATGGTCTCAAAACAGGAACGATCAATCAGAGTCTTCACAGAGAACCTAGAACAGAAGAATAGGATATCAATTTTATAGATCGTTCTGTTCCTCTATACCAGATGGCACAATGTATTTTATTAAAATAGGAAAGTGATCAAGATATTCAAGTTATAACATGTATGGTTCTCATTTACCTAAAATACAAGAAGTAACCTAGAAAATATTGTAAATCATCACTTCTAGCTTTCATAAAATTGTATTGTAAATCATCGCTGCTAAAGCTTTCATAGATTCAGATTCCAAGGCCAGAAGGGACCAGTGTGATCAACTAGTCTGGCCTCTTGTATAACACAGGACATAGAACTTACCCAAAATAGCCTCAGAGCAAATATTTTAGAAAAAAAAAATCAAATTATGATTTAAAAGTGGTCAGTAAGGGAGAATCCACAACAACCCCTGGTAAGTTATCCCAATAGTTAATTATCTTCATTGTTAAACTGAAAATGGAAATAAGGTGTAAATTTATGTCTAGATTCAACATCCAACCAATGGATCAGGTTATACATTTCTTTGCTAGACTGAAGAATCTATTATTACACATTCATTTCCCATGTAGATACCTATAAATTGTAATCAATTTGCCCATTAACCTTTTCTTTGTTAAGATAAATAGATAGAGCTCTGAGTCTATTTCTAATCCTTCAGTCATTCTCATGGCTCCTTTGAACACTCCACAATTCAAGAATGATATTGATAAATTGGAGACACCAGAACTGGACACAATATTCCAGCAGCAGTTGTATTAGTGCCAATGCAGAGGCAGAATAACATCTCTGCTCCTACTTGAGATTCTCCCATTTATGCATCCAATCGCATTAACTTTTTTGGCCGGAGCATCACACTGAGAACTCAGCTCATTATCTACCATAACCCCAAATCTTTTTCAGACTAATGGCCTTCCAAGATAAATACCCCCATGATGTAAGCATGGCCTACATTCTTTGTTCATTGCTGTATACATTTACTAGGGCTGTCAAGCAATTTTAAAAAATTGCTATTAATTGCACTGTGAAACAATAATTGAATACCATTTATTTAAATATTTTTGGATGTTTTCTATGTTTCCAAATATACTGATTTCAAGTAAAACACAGAATACAAAGTGTACAGTGCTCACTTTATATTTATTTTTGATTACAGGCATTTGCATTGTAAAAAACAAAACAGTATTTTTCAATTCACCTAATACAAGTACTGTAGCGCAATCTCTTTATCATGAAAGTTGAACTTACAAATGTAGAATTATGTAAAAAAGAAAAAAACCTGCATTCAAAAATAAAACAATGTAAACTTTTAGAGCCTGCAAGTCCAACTTCTTGTTCAGCCAAGCACTAAGACAAATAAGTTTGTTTACTTAGGAGGAGATAATGTTTGTTTACTTAGCAGGAGATAATGCTGCCCGCTTCCTGTTTACAATGTCACCTGAAAGTGAGAACTCATTCTCATAGCACTGTTGTAGCCGGAGTCGCAAGATATTTACGTGCCAGATGCAATAAAGATTCATATGTCTCTTCATGCTTCAACCACCATTCCAGGGGACACGCGTCCATGATGATGACTGACTCTGCTCGATAACAATCCAAAGCCGGGAGGACCGACGCTTGTTCATTTTCCAACATCAGAGTCAGATGCCACCAGCAGAAAGTTGATTTTCTTGTTTGGTGGTTCGGGTTCTGTAATTTTCCCATTGGAGTGTTGCTCTTTTAAGACTTCTGAAAGCATGCTCTACACCTCATCCCTCTCAGATTTTGGAAGGCACTTCAGATTGTTAAACATTGGGTCGAGTGCTGTAGCTATCTTTAGAAATCTCACATTGGAACCTTTTTTGTGTTTGGTCAAATCTGCAATGAAAGTGTTCTTAAAATGAACAACATGTGCTGGGTGATCATCCGAGACTGCTATAACATGAAATATATAGCAGGATGCAGGTAAAACAGAGCAGGGGACATACAATTCTCCCCCAAGGAGTTCAGTCACAAATTTAAATTAATGCATTATTTTTTTAACAAGCATCATCAGCATGGAAGCATATTGTCTGGAATGGTGGCCAAAGCATGAAAGGACATACGAATGTTTCGCATATTTGGCACCTAAGTACCTACCTTGCAATGCCAGCTACAAAAGTGCCATGCAAATTATTGTTCTCACTTGCTAGTGACATTATAAATAAGAGGGCAGCATTATCTCCTGTAAATGTAAACAAACTTATTTGTCTTAGCGCTTGGCTGAACAAGAAGTAGAACTGAGTGGACTTGTAGGCACTGATGTTTTAAACAGTTTTGTTTTTGAATGCAGTTATGTAACAAAAAAACAAATCTACATTTGTAAGTTTCACTTTCATGACAATTACATTACAGTATTTGTATGATGTGAATTGAAAAATACTATTTCTTTTGTTTATTATTTTTACAGTGCAAATATTTGTAATAAAAAATATACACTTTGATTTCAATTACAACACAGAATACATATGAAAATGTAGAAAAACATCCAAAATATTTAATAAATTTCAATTGGTATTCTACAGTTTAACAGTGCGATTAAAACTGCGATTAATTGCAATTTTTTTTTTAGTTAATCACGTGAGTTAACTGCGATTAATCAACAGCCCTAACATTTACATTTAACCATATTAAAATGCATAGTGTTTGCTTGCGCCCAGTTTACCAAATGATGCAGATCGCTCTGAATCAATGACTTGTCGGCTTCTTTATTCACTACTCCCCCAATTTGTGTCATCTTCAAACATAATCAGCAATGATTTAATGTTTTTTTCTAAGTCATGGATAAAAATGTTAAATAGCATAGGGTAAAGAACTGATTATTGATGGACTCCACTGGAAGAGGCACCCACTTGATCACGATTCCCTATTTACAATTATATTTTGAGACCTATCAGTTAGCCAATTTTTAATCTATTTAGTGTGTGCCACGTTAAAAAAAAACTAGAATATAACTATCAAAATATCATATGGTACCAAGTCAGGCACCTAACAGAAGTCTATTACATCAACACTATTACATTTATCACCCAAACTTGATACCATTATAAGTTTGATAGGATCTATTTTCAATAAACCACGTCAATTTGCATTAATTACCCTCTTTTAAATCTTTATTAATCGAGTCCCACATCAGCTGTTCCATTATCTTGCCTAGGATTGATTTCAGGCTGACAGGCCTATAATTACCTGGATCATCCTGTTTATCCTTTTTAAAAACTGACACAACATTACCTTTTGTCCAGTCTCCTGGAACTTCCCCAGTGCACCAAGACTTATTGAAAATCAACATTAATGATCTAGCGAGCTCCTCAGCCAGCTCTTTTAAAACTCATGGATGCAAATTATCTGGACCTGCTGCTTTAAAAATGTCTAACTTCAGTAGCTTCTGTTTATCATCATCCAAAGATACAGTGGAAGGAAAAAGTGTTATCAACCCCATATGATGAGACTATCATCTGTTTTTTTCCCCAGAGACAGGACATGAATGTTTATTCAACACTTCTGCCTTTTCATTGATAATTCTACCATTTCCATCTAGTAATGGACCAATACCATTACCAGGATTCCTTTTGTTCCTAATATATTAAAAAAAAAAACACACACACCTCCTCCTTATTTTCCTTAACACTGCTGGCCATAGATTTCACATTGTCCCCCTTTTCTTCCCTTATCAGTTTTCTACAATTCCTAACTTCATTACTATCAACGTCCTCTTTCATTTGTTTTTATGTAAATGTATTTATTTATTATAGCTGTGTTCACTTCCCCTCCAAACCAGGTCAGTTTTTTAAACCAACACAGCCTTCTTCCTTGATTCTGGCTTTTTGGCCATCTAATAAGGTGTTCTTAAAATGATTAGCAATTATAATTCACATTTTTCTGATTAAGTTCTTCGTCCCAGCTGATTTGGCTTAAATTGTTTTCAGCTTTGTGAAACTGGCCCTAATACAGCACCAAGTATATTACTGATCTGGACTTGATTGTGCTTGCTCATTATAAATGTGATCAAGTCATGACCACATGTACCTAAGCAACCTTTAATTTTTCATTCTGTGATCAGTTTTTCTTTAGCTGTTAAGAAAGGATCTAATTCCCTCTTGTTGGCTGTAACACTTTGAGAGTTAGGAAACTCATCTCTAATGTTTAGAAATTCCAAGGATGTTTTAGTACTTGCAACATGAGACCTCCATCATGTGTCACTCAAAGTGAAGTCCCATAATCATGCAGCTTTTTTCCCCTACATAGTATAGTTAGTCACTTAAGCTGGAGTCATTCTGTTCCCTAGTGTGATTTTGTGGTCTGCAGCAGGCACGAATACACACCCCATCTTGTGCTATGTTTGTCTGAACATTGATCTGGAGTATTAAGTCTGGTTTTCCTAGTTTTGCTGAAGGACCTTTTGGGAGTCTCAAACACATTGATTGTGAATTCTTACAGATCAGTTCAAAGGGCGGGGATGTCAAATATTTAACAGAGACATCTTTTTTCCAATCTGTTCTTCTCAGGAAAGAGACTGTACCCATGCCTAGCACAACAGAGCCAATAACATTTGTTGGGGACTGTAGACACCACCAGAACACAAGCAAATACAATACTAATTTACCAAACTGAAAAGGAAATTATGAATTATAAATTTTACACTGCCCCAAGGCAATTTAAAAAAATTCCATTAAATAAAACATCTGGCCCTGGTCATTTCTCTCATTAATATTTATAGCCCTCTCAAATGTTCTCCAAATAATTGGAGAAACTTTTCAGCAACATTTGGGATAGTCAGAGTAGGCTGGTGAAATGTGTTTTGTAGACATCCATCTCACTGCTTGACTTAGGCCTGGAGCATCGTTGCTCAGAATCTCGATCCTTTTCACATCCTTGAACAAGTCCCTCACATCTTCATCCTCACCCCTGGCACCCCCAGTAGACCAGGGTTTGTGGAGGGATTCTCAGAAGTCAGACCAGGTTCCTCCTCAGTTCCCTTGCTGGGAGAAAATTCCCCCA